AACCCTAAGCCCCTAAACCCTTAAGCCCCTAAACCCCTAAATCCCTAAACCCCTAAACCCGAAAACCCTAAACAGATTATAGCATTTCCCAGAGCAGCTTCTGAGCCGGACCGCCCTGAAGCCAAAGCAAACTCGCACAGAACCCTGTCCATGCTTTCCGGTTTAGGGTTTAGGGTTTAGCGGCTTAGGGTTTAGGGTTTTAAGGTTTAGGGTTTAGGGTTTTAGGGTTTAGGGTTTTAGGGTTTAGGGTTTTAGGGTTTTAGGGTTAGGGTTTAGGGTTTAGGGTTTAGGGGGCTTGCTCTCCGCGATTTTGGGAAACTTATCAGTTGAGGGGGCACAGGCGCTGCCGGCTGCCGGAGGAGCAGCAGCAAGAGGCGAAGGAGGAGGAACTGCACTATGCGAGTATACGTACTTTACGTCACCACTGTCGCAGCGTTTCATGAGAGGTAGACAGCATAACTCGCTGTAGGGAAACCAAAACTAAAATACACCGAGGTTTGCAAGAATCCTTAACCGAAAACCCCTAAACCCTAAACCCTAAACCCTAACCCTTAACCGAAAATCTCGGGTCCTTGTCCATGTAGCGGCGGTAATAATCTGCAGTGCCCCCAACGTAGCTCTCGTACCATGCTGTCTCCTGCTCAAATAATTTAGGTTTCAGGGTTCAGGGTTTAGAGTTTAGGGTTTAGGGGTTTAGGGCTTACCTATAGTCTCCATTATAGTTCCTTTTTTGGTTTAACCAGTTATATATTAAGGATTCTATAAGGTATCCCCAAAAAGGGACTACAATGGAGACTATAGGTAGGGCTCAGGGTTTAGGGCTTTCGGTTTCAGGCATATTACGACAGACTACACTGGCAGGAGCGCCGGGCGAGAGTGGATCATTACGCCCGCGCTTTCGCGGCAGCGCTCGTTTACGCATCACTGCAACGGGCCGCCTCAATCCTGCAAACCTGAGGAACCCTCAAGCCCGAAACAAGACCCAAACCCGAAAACCCTGAACATGCCGTCCAAACACTATTGAAAGCTTGGGTTTTAAGCTGCAACGCACGCCCCAAAAACCACACAGTAGCACAACAAAAACAAAACACAAGAACGAACAACAACACTTTGTCGACCGTTTTCACGTGCTTTGATCACAGCTCTAGCTGCACCCAAACCCTGAAAATTTGAAACCGAAACCCTGAACCCTGAAGCCTATAAACCCTGAACCCTGAAACCTAAACCCCTAAACCCGGAGCCAGAACCCCTAAACCCCTAAACCCGAAACCCCTAAAAACCCGGAGCCCTAAAGCCCAAACCCTAAACCCCTAAACCCGAAACCCCTAAACCCGGAGCCCTAAAGCCCAAACCCTGAACCCTCAGCTCCTCGTCGCCTGCACGTCTGCGCTTGGAGGCTGGCGAAGACGCCTTCGGCTTCATTGGCGAAAAACTGTGCTTCTAGGATGTAAGATGATGTAGGTTTAGGGTTTAGGGTTTAGGGTCATTTTCTTCTAGGATGTAAGATGATGTAGGTCTTAAACTTTGGGGGTTTGGGGTTTAGGGACATGGCTTTCGGTTGTAGGGTTTGGCCGAAGACACGATGAGGTGTCGACATGAACGAAAAACGAACGCAACATGCAAACTTTCCACTTCACGCCTGATGCGCCAGTCAATTCACGATGCCCTTGCTTTTTTGTCAAGTCAAATTTATGTTCGTGATGTGAGACTGGCCAGAGATGCGAGGGTGGATGCGGCCAGCCGCATACTCAAACCTTTTGCTGGGAGTTCGCATGCCTCTGGCACAACGAGACTAAAGACTGAAATCCCTTGTCACCTTGACGGCAAGAAAAGACGAGGAGGATGAGTAGCTATAAATTAAAAGCATGAAAACATACTGGAGATGCCCATGATGGTCAACATACCCATCGAAATCGATCGTCATCATTATTGTCATAGTCAGCATCTCCTCCTTGGCTCAATCTCACTAACAAGGTCTCTTCTCAAGAAGGTATCATATGAGCCTTTGTGTAAGGCTTGTGAAAATCATTCAAACGATGTTGCATGGTTTTGAATGAGCTTGAAACATTTTAAAGTATTTGATACGTTATTCTGAATGTTTTGGAATGTTTCGGAATGATTTGGAGTGAACCTTGAAACCTAAACTCCTAAAACCCTACACCCCACATTCTAAACCGTACACCCCCACGAACATCTGCACACAATCACAGGGCCACCCAGTGTCCGAAAGCCAGGGTTCGCATTGGAAAGGAAACCCGGAAGTCCGAAAGCCAAGCCCAAGAGGGTTCGATGTCTATTTTAGGCTCCTGGAGTTTAGGGTTTAGGGTTTAGGGTTTAGGGTTTAGGGTAAGTGCGAAAACCAAAAGCGTTGAGGCTTAAGGGCTAAGCGGCCTGGTGGCCCGAAAGAAAGACAAACCCCCGTCACAAAGGGGTCAGAACACAAGCACTGCCTGCGTCGGGACTGCCAGGCCCCCGAAAAAGGGATATCGAGCGGTCAAAACTCCAAAAACTTCCAAAGAATGCGAACACATTCCGAACCAATCCGACAGATTCAAATGTTCCTGCAAGCCCCTGCTTCGTTTATGCTTCAACTTTCCTATCAACCTTCTAGCACCTCGACACCTGGAGTCAAAACACATGCAGACATGTACACCTAATTAGGCACAGGTTTGCAAAGGTGTTCTCACACACACACACACACTCACAGAAACCGAGTCGTTAGGGTATTTTTGTTTTTTGGAATGATTTGGAATTACGTGTATTTTCTGGAGTCTTGTGGAATAATTTGGAGTTACGTAGAACTATTTTGAAGTTTCTAGAACATTTCTGAATGCTTGTGAAATAATTTGCGTTATTTTGACTGATGTAGAATTACCAAGGAGCCACCCGCCAAAGCCCGAAGATACCTCCTACCCCATTCGCCGAAAAAACATGGCGATCAGCATCATCACCAATATTGGTAACAACATGCCAACCAGGCTTGCGTGAGCATCATCATGCTGTTTAGCGCGCTGACATTTTCCATACTGGGGATGGTGGTGATGTTCCTGCAACCACCATCATGCCGATGCCCACGAAAACAGTGGTTGTGATGCTGCCGCCGGAATGATGATCAGGGTGGGACTAATGATCGCAACGGCGGGGATGATAGCGATGATAGTGAGGAGAAACATGCCGTGCAAGTGCAAATCATGTTGTCGACGAGGAGGATGATGAGGAGGAAAAGGATGAGCAGGAGGCCAAGACGCATGCTGGGAACAGCTATCATTGGCAAATCTCATGCGGAAATACGACTGCTTGCCGACACTCTTTCAGAAATGATCTTTGAAGTGACCAATGTAAATGTCACAAAACCCTGCATCCCCGTCGAAACCCCAAAGCCCCTGACCGGAGAAGCAGCCGGCCGCTTCTTGGCCTGAGATCATAGTCCAGGGTTCAGTATGTTCTACTTTAGGATTTAAGTGCCACCTTAACCTACCAAAACCTACTTTTCTGTACGGTCCCTAGAAATTCCCCATTAGGGTATATAATAAGTGTGTAGGGGCTCAGGATTTTGTACTTCAGGCTTTTAAGTGTTTCGGGTTCAGGACAGGACCTTCTCCGCTAGAACCTGCCGGCGGCTCGCGATTTGGGCGCCGGGTTTCTGGGAACGTGATCACCTACTACGTTGTGGATATCTGCCACGGGATCTCATGGCATCATATGAGCCAAATATACCAGGTGGCAGGCGCAGATTGTAGTTGCCAGTTGCAGGTTATTTACGCTACACAGCATGATTCATACTGTTCGTTATCTTTGCGCCTGGTGACCTTCTACACATACAACAACTTACGACCGATCGGGTGGGCCGGCTCTGCAGCGTGCTGCTTGCAGGGTTCTCATGCGTCGTATGAGAATTACATTGCACCGGGGCACATGGCAGCAGATTGTCTTGTTCAAACGCACGGCACAACCCACGAGATCAACCAAGTAAAGTGCTGACTTATGGCCGCCTTGCACTCACACACCACGCATCACCAACACGTCCAGATAAACACAACGAAACAACCGCAAAGTGTACCATTCAAGCAGCATTCCTATCAACATTGCACCAGCATGAAGCAGCATTGCCACTCAACTAAGAACCAGCCATTTCCGATACACGCACACTACAGCTTCTTTGTCAATGTAACTGTACTGTATGACTAGCTGGTCACTGTATGTTACTGTTTGACTCTGAATGCCATGGAAGTGCAACAGCATCGGACCAACAGGCCTCGCTGAAACAACATGCGCCCGCATTGCAGTACATGTCAAATTGCCTCAGACACAGCACCGAAGCCTCCCCCCTAAACCCTAAACCCTAAACCCCAAACCCTAAACCCTAAACCCTAAGCCCCAAACCCTAAACCCTAAACCCTAAGCCCCAAACCCTAAACCCTAAACCCTAAGCCGTACTTTCTCAGGATTCCAGTGCGGTGAAGCGAGATGGATGCGCAACAAGCGCAACAAGACAAATTACCCAGAGACTCCAATATCCCTTAATTAAGGAATATACCTTAAATCAGATTAGGGATCCTATGATAATTTAAGGTGCATTCCTTAATTAAGGGATATTGGAGTCTCTGGGTACCAGGACAGTACCAGCAAGAAGAGGCAAAGCAGAATGCACCCGAAAGAACCGTAGTACAGATGTCTACATCATTCTGAATAACTAGACTTACTAGCCTAGCTGGACTACGGTGCTGAACTATTGACAGTGCATGTATACAAAATAGCATGACGACTAATGCGACAACTTCTTCAAACACTACACTACGCCTAGAAGTCTCACTTTGTCCAGGCAGCCATTGCGCTTGGCTGCCACCGGCGCCCAACAAGCACGTCCAAGGCTTTGGAATGACGCGCGGAGGAGACGGAGTGTCCACACACGGGTGTTTCCGAAAATAGGGGACCCAAATATAGTACCCTAAACATTAGGATCCTTATTATAAGGACCCCAAATAAGGTACCCCTACTTTTCGGAAGCTCCCAATACTGGTTGTCCCTATCGCAGTACTCTGCAGCTCTTGCCATGATTGCTTGATTGCTGTCTGCTATCTCGGATGATCCGTTCTACTCCAAGTACAACCCCATAAATCCCTGGTAGACCCCAGTGGAATGCCTAGGAAACCCAGTGAACTCCGTAAGTGTGAAACTTCCTGCTGTGCGCAGCTACGGACCCAGTTTGGCTTTTCACGGTGCCTATGACTGCGTTCGTCTGACCTGCAGCTCTCGTGAAGGCGGTCGTGCAGCAACTTGCACAACTTCAATGATGCCTTGGGTTGAGCGAGCACAGATTCGGCGACAATAATACATCAGGGTGTAGATTTTTTATAAGTTTATAGCATGATAACATACTAAGTACAGTGCACTACATGATCATATTACACGATAGTAGCACTTTTGTAGGATGCTTAGGTTCTAAAAGCCCTACACAAGTAGTACTATAGTGTTATATAGTAATGTTCAGATGCTCTTTGCTTGTTGCGACTTCAATTGTTGGGGTGTTGTTGTCTCTCGTAACATCTGGAAACCTTTCTGATAAACAAGGCTTGCCACTCACATTTATTATTATCCTGCTATTTGGGTTCTAGATTGGGGTTCCTTGTTCTCTCAACATTTCGCCTGTTCTCCTTTGCCAAAGCTGTCCGGGCTTGGGCTTCGAGCCAGCGGCTCACTGCTGCTAACTGCGTTTCTTAACATGCTTCTCTTGGACAACAGCTAATAGCGGCTTCCTCTGTAGAAGGGGTCCAGACGACAGCACATTCAATACCCGACAACTCAACAAGCTGAGCTGCCGCCTCCACTCCAAAAGAAAACGCAGCACCCACTAGCGAGTCGTTATAGTTTCCTCTGTCTACGGCTACCGCACGGAGGAGTGTTTCAAAGCGCTCATTGTCACTCGGCACTGAACCTTGATCCGAGACCCTCCAGAACAGGAATGCCGTTTACTGACCTATTGCTGCTATTGGTCGTTCTGTGCCTGAGGATTGATGGCTTCACTCCGGCGCCCTCTGATTCGGGAAATGTTTGGGAGTCGAGTACTATAGCCAGTATGACTATATTGTCATACCGGCAACCAGGTTTGGACTCATTCGTTGCGTGACACGAGTCTCACATGATCATGCTGTTGAGCTGAAAAGTTTGGCGAATGACGGCGATTTTGGCTAAGCATTGCCATACGTTTTGTTGTACAGTGTTCTGTTATACCAAGACTTGCTGGACGGCGGCGCTGAGCTACTGAATACCGTAATATATTCGCCTCGGCCCCCGGCCGAAGCGGTCAGAGGTTCCTATTCGGACTTCCGGGTCCCTTTGTGTGAACCCGAACCCGAAAATGAGCCCCAGAATCCTGCGGTGAAATCTCGCCTCCTCCAATGGATTTGGGCCACCACTCCCTTGCGAGGCTAAACCATCAACGCTAAATGCCCAAAACATCCAAACACCCCCTAAACCCTAAACCCTAAACCCCCTTCTCAAGCGCTTTGCACAACATCTTGAACCCAAGACAACAGCCACCCTCCCGCTGCGCCACCTTTGCACACAGATCTCCAGCTTCGGCGCCAGGCCAACTCACGACATCTAATGTAGGGGCCTAAATAACTACCAATACTAGTTTCCGGGGCTCCTTATCATAATTATACTATAATGGGCCGGCAAAACCTATTCTAACATTAAGGCCCCTATACGCTACACCCTTATAGTAGCCCTTATAGTATCCCTTTAAAGGAGCCCTTTAAAGGAGCCCCCCAAAACCCTACTCTGATTATTACGGCCCCATATTACTCATCATCCTCCGGCGGCAGCGACGTCGGCAGGTACTCCGGACTGAAGGCTCCGGCCTGAGCGTACTGTAGGGGCCTTAAGAATTAGAATAAAGGTTTTTTTGGGGTTCCTTTAAAAGGTTCCTTAAAAGGGATTCTATAAGGGTTACTATAAGGGTTCTATAAAGGGGCCTTAATAAATAGAATCTTTCTTTTTTGGGGGGGGAGGGGGGGGCTCCTTGTTATTATGGTTATTATAGTATAATATACCCCACACCCTATTCTAATTAATTCAGGCCCAATATTCAGGCTGTCGCGAAGGTTTGGCACTTCAGCGTTCAGGCTCAGACTCTGAGGACAGGACATGAAAACACTAATTAGTTAACTACAACGGTGCAAAATCCGAACGAGTACCAACAAGACCAGATGTCGTCGTAGTATATCGTAGTGACAACTCCGGGTGGAGAGTCGTAGTCGTAGTGGTCAGACAAAACCCGTGCTTGTCACACAAGTTCCTTCAAGAACTATTCTAACCACTGGTTCTGCGAGCAGCAGCAATCAAAGTTAGACTGCATCGGCAAGTATGAACCTACATGCAACATCCCAATGTTATAGATAGACCCAAGCTTATGTCCCGTCAACCTTGTGCTCCCTAAGCCCTAAACCCTAAACCCTAACTACCCTAAACCCTAAATACCCTAAACCCTAAACCCTAAATAAAGACCCTAAATACCCTAAACACCCTAAATACCCTAACCCCCCCCCAAAGCTAGTGAAATCGTCTGCAAACTCCTCGGTTTCCAACCTCTGACCAGGCCCTGCAGCCCGATCTGCGGGATGTTACTTGGAGGTTCATGGGTAGTTATAAGTGGAGTTATAAGTAAGGCAACTATAATTATAACCCATATTAGGAGACTTATAACTTCACTTATAACTAACCCTGAACCTCCAAGACCCTAAACCCGTAAACCCTAAATCCTAAACCCCGAAACCCTAAACTCCAACAGCTGCTCACACTCTTCCGCCCTCAGTCTCTTAGTTCTTCCAGCTCTTCTCAAACCCCGATTAAAGGAAACTACAGGTGGGGAGTTTAAGGTATGAGGTTTAGGGTTCAGGGTTTAGGGTTTAGGGTTTAGGTCTAGGGCTCCGGGTTTAGGTATAGGGCTCCTATAGGGCTTCTATAATAAGGTATATAGACCGTCCATAAGGCTCCTATGACGGTAGCTACCCACCTGAAAATGTCCTAGACCCGACCCAACTTATTTCAGGGGCCTTGACAATCAGGGTGCACTGTATCATCCTCTACTTTTGTATAGGGAGCCCTTTACACAGTACTTTTGAACCCTTTAAAACGTACTTGTGAATAGGGAGCCCCCTATAAAAGGTACTTTTGAATGAATAGGGAACCCTATAAACGGAATAAGACTCGTAAACCCTAAACTCTATTCCTAAACCCTAAACCCTAAATTACTATAAACCCCTAAACCCTAAACCCTAAATCCCTAAACCCTAAACCCTAAACCCTAAATTACTATAAACCCCTAAACCCTAAACCCCTGAACGCTAAACCCTAAAGGAATACGACTCGTAAACTTTCAGGCCCCTGTATTTCACAGCTGGCCTCACCCAGAGAGCCCAATACCCCTTAAATAAGGAACATACCTTAAATTATAAGGGTTTAGGGTTTAGGGTTTAGGGTTTAGGGTTTAGGGCTTAATATTATATGATTTAAGGTATATGCCTTAATTAAGGGGTATTGGGGTCTCTGGGTCGCCGGAAGCGTTGCCCTCCGAGGCAGCCGCATGTCGTTGCTCAAAAGCCTGGCATCAGAGAGGCGCTTCACTTCGAGCACCCCTAGACAGGGGTGTAGGGTTTAAGGGCTTATAGTTAATTTAGTTCGGATTTAGGGTTTAGGGGTTTATGGTTCATAGTAATTTAGGGTTTAGGGTTTAGGGGTTTAGGGTTTAGGGTTTAGGGTTACAACCAACCTGGATGTCCTTCTAAAGCCATCAGCAACCGTCTTGTTTCAGGCAGTCATTCATACTGCATCCACTTGCTTCGGACTAAAATAGCATACCCCACAAAACCCTAAACTTTTAGTTCTGGACCCTAACCCCTAAACTTTTTAGACACGGATCCTAAAACTAAACCCTAAACTTTTTAGTTATGGACCCTTAACCCCTAAATCTTTTGAGGTATGGATGAAACCCTAAACCCTAAAACCTAAACCCTAAACCCTAAACCCCTAAACCCCTAAACCCCTAAACCCTAAACCCTAAGGGCCCTAAGCCCTAAACCGCCCTACACCCGAAAAGTTCTGGAGGACCCGAACTTCTGAGCACAGCGTGCGGGCCCAAGTTCGGGGCTCCAGACTTCTTGAAACTTACCCAGAGAACCCAATACCGGTTTAGGGTTTAGGGTTTAGGGTTTAGGGTACCCCTTAAATAAGGAATATACCTTAAATTATAAGGGCCATAAAACCATGCGACTTAAGGTCTATTCCTTAATTAAGGGGTGTTGGGCTCTCTGGGTACTTCCCCAAGAAGCCAGGGAAATAAAAGGTTAAACTTCCAAACTTCTGCTAAACTATAAGAGACCAAAACTTTAACACAACTGTCTAACTACTACTAGACTATAAAAGCCCGAAAAGCTTTAAAGGTTGAGTTTAACGGCTGAGTAGTGGAGAGCTATATAAGTGAAATCAATCTCTGTGGCGTTGCATCTCAGGGGTCTTGAGGCTGTGGGGCCTCAGGGCCTTAGGGGCCTTCGGGGCCTTGGGGCCTTAGGGGCTTTGGGGTTTAGGGCCTTAGGGGGTTTGTGGTTTAGGGTTTAGGGTTTAGGGTTTACTTGGAGGTTCATGGTTAGTTATAAGTTGTAAGTCTCCTAATATGGGTTATAATTATAGTTGCCTTACTTATAACTCCACTTATAACTACCCATGAACCTCCAAGTAGGGTTTATAAGG